ATAGAATCCATCTTAAAAATCTGTTCGTTCCTTTTTTATGATTTTTACTCGGCTACTTATAAACTGATATAAAAACCTGCACCGGCAAAGAGCTATTTGAAACGAAATGCGTATAGCTAGCTCTCCCTTTCTAACATCTCCCTGTTACTAAAGAAACAGATTGTCATGGTTAAAAATATGGTGAACAATTTTATCGCAGTTTCTTGATAAAAATTTTGTTTCTTTAGATACCAAATAAACAGTTATAGACGACATATATATCCTATATCACCTACGTACGCACATGTACATACATACAGCATACGCCTGTACATTTTTTATAACTCCTGTAAATCTAGTCTTCTGAAATTTATAATATATCTCAAATTCTTTTATCTTGCATATCAAGTCTAATATTTAAAATGTAAAATTATTTTTCTGTTTTATATCTATACGTTTTCTCCATCTCACGATCGTTCACCTATGTTATATCACCTTATTATATAGAATGACTTAGCGCTGTACAAGTGGCACCGTCGGCGTAGCTGGTGTTAATGGTACAGACACTGACGTTGACGGTATCGGTTGATGCGTTTGTCGCAGTGGAGAAATAAGTTCTTTCTCTTACAATAAATTCCACGCTTGCGATCAACTCCTCCGTACTTCCGCGTTCCTCTTCAATATATAGCTTCTGAAATAATGATAAATTACAACGAATTATTCAGCAGTCAAGAGAAATAACATAATATTTATTACAATTCAAGTTTTATTGTAAAATGTGTAGTATTTGATGATCAAAATCATTCGTTTGTCAATTTAGAGAAAAATCAGTAATAATATACGTTAATTATTAACATATATTATCAGTGATTTTTCTTTATATTGGCAGACAAACGTATTTATTTATTACATATCTTACGATAAAACTTCAGTTATAATAGATTCATTAATTGCAAGTAAAATATGTACATACACACAATACCTTGGTTTATGAAGTCAACGGTAAAGCCGAGAACTTTCCTTGAGACTACTGTTAATCCTAAGGTTTTCCAACATCTTAATACAGTCTACATAAAGAATGTATTAAACGAAAATTAGCAAGTTGGAAAAAGCTTCCCAAATACTAAATATTCTATTTTGGCAATTATAGAAATTCTACAAGTATGTACCTGATTGAAATAAAATCAACAATCGCGGTTAATCGTGAGTCCGGGAAGCTCTTCCTTACAATTGCCATTGACGCGCGTTTGTAATCGCTCAAGACTGACCGTACACTTTGCAATGCATCTGAACGCAATTGCTTTACTTTTTGCCAAATTGCGTTGTACACACCCATCGTACGTTTTTGACAAAACGCAAAAAGGATAGTTAGATACACTGAAATAAATAGATTCACCAAATTAAATCTTTGAAAGAAATAAGATGTTATGAAAAATAAACAAACATTTTATTAATATACCTATACAAAAACAAACTGTTTTGTTAAAGTATCTAAAAATTAAGTACCTAATTAATATACAGACTGAAAATAATTATATAGAAAATTCAAGCATAATGAGCAATACTGCAAAGACATCCTAACAAACAGCTTGGGCGTCCTATATATATTTATTTTCATAGTCCAAATAAAATTACTTACATCAGTAACTAAATTTTTAGATACAGCAGAAAAACTGATTTTCCGTGTAAGAAAATTAAGAACTAAATTTGTTTCCTTCTTGTACAATTTACCGTATCCATATATCGTATGTGGACGGTGTATAATTGTTCGAAGACTGACATTCTGAGAATCACCCATCGATCTTGCCAGACCAATCAGCACCGAAACCAGACATTTGCATAGCGATACTAAAATAATATATATAATGTCAAAACAAAATTTTTTTACTTTATTAGACATGAAATATGCCTTAAGTGACAGCAAAGTATATTTAAAATTAAACAAAATTGATTGAAATTTGTAGTTTCTCTTCAAATAATTAGTTTATTTCTTAAATTATACCTATTTATTCTTTCAAAAATAATTATGTATATATCTTCATTTTCGATTGCTTCAATGCTTTTGATGTCACAATACTTACATCGTCTGTATTTTAATTAATACGTTTATTAATACTTACTTTTTGCTTGCAAGCCTCTACTGCTATTCTGTTTCTTGTATCTGCGTATCAAATTGGTCAGGACAGTGAGTATCTCGACCTGCGTCGAGATGATTTCTTCTCGCGTTGGCTCGCACCTGGCCGCCATGTCGCTCAACAGTGTGTTGAGGCAAAAGCTGAAACGTTCCGCGACCGGTACTCCCCGCTCGGCGAGCAAAAGCAAACACCTCACCTCGTCTCGCCATACAACCTTTGGAAATTGGCACAACAATCTCAATAAATACAGCAAAATTGTATCCCGGTGCTGCAGACTGGACTCCAAAAAATAAATCCCCAATGCAATAGTCATATCCTGATTCCTCTGATCCAAATAAAAAACCTTAAGCGGATTGTTGCAGACATAACTTGTACAATTTGGCTACTTATAATTAAGCGTGAAAAATTTTTATATCCTAATAAAAGTTGCGTTGATTGTGAAATTTCTTGAGTATAAAAACAAAAATAAGCTTTCTTAAAACAGTGAAAATTATATAAAATATTTGAAAAAATTATATATTTTAATAATAATTTATATATTCCCTTACGAAAAAGACCGACTGCCAGGTGTGTAGTTATTACTGGAGGTATTATTGCCCGTGTAGTAGTTACTGCTGATGGATTGCATGACAAATATTACACACTTGTGGTTATTACTGGAGGTATTACTGCT